AATCGCCCAACAATTGTTTCAAGTTTAGAAGTTCACATTGTAAATGAAATATAAAATCATTACATTCTATTGACGTTCAGTAGATGAAGCATACTCTTTTGATGCTCATTATCGTTATTTATATTTTGATTTAATAAAAGAAAATTAAATATATTACATCTTATATTAAAAGACTAAAGAACGTTTGTAGTAATTATTTATCAATTATCTTAAATCATTTCGAAGTATAGTAACTGATTACAGTAAGTTAAACATCATTTTCACAACTAGTTATGTTCGAAAATTGAGGTGGAAACAGACTTAAGTTAGTTCACTAGTCATCTAACTTTAATATATTGTAGTAAACATGGATAATTATTTTGACGTTAATAGTCTAATGGAAACATTGGTGAGAATTTTGTCACATATACTAATAGTATCTAAGTAAACACTTTGTCCGAAAGCACAATTATAAACCTTATACTGCTTTTGAATATTTTTACTTTAGAAGAAAAATTTAATTTCATTGCCTGATATTTATTATATAACACTTAGAAAAAGAAGACACTTCATAGAAATGATAAAAAGGAAGTGGTTGCAGCACTCATTGTATTCAGCCAAACATAGCATATAGTACACATTTGTATATTTTACATTCTGATAAATTCTATCAAAATCTACCAATATGATCTATTTCTACTTTACTTCGTAGACAGTATAGATCTAATTTTTGATCCTTTTATTGTAATTTTCTGTGTTTTTGACGTGAATTACAGAGACTTGGAGACATATTATTTCAACACAGATTACTAAATACTCATGTAATAAGCTCTAATAACTTAAAATATCTTTCTTTTTCATTGAAAAAAGTGTTACCTTAATGAGCATCGAAGATTAACGATAGAATGTTTTACAATAAACAAATAAATAAATAGTTGAGATCATGAGTCAGTTAAAGCTAGACCACCATGGGAAACCTGGAAGCACTGGGTCCTATCATGGGACTCCACAGCAGTGCACATCCATGACCTCACCCCGTGGGATTCGAAACCTGGACCTATCAAACTCTCGCGGGAGCACTTAACCACTAGACCACTGAGCTGGCCGGCACCCAACGGTGTTAATGTCAAACTTCAAATATATCTTATATATTCGCTTTATGTTATTCACAGAATAAACTTATTCAAATTTTCTTTCCGACGGATCATACGACTCAAAATTTGCAATACATATAAACGGTTATGCTTAACTAATTGCTTGCGTTTTTTCCTAAATTGCCATCCTAGTATCAGTTTTTCTAATCCTCTGTTTGTAGTTGTTTAATGAATTTCAGTTCCCATGATTAGTTGACAGTGCATTTAAACAGAGGGTTATAGTGCAAAAAAATGTTACCAATCAAATTATTATTACTTCATCGTTTGGTAAAACCCATCAATCACATAACTAATCAAAATTTTGTTTACCATATATTTCGTTCAGTGTTACGTACAAATGAAATTTTTTCGTATTCTCTATGGCTTTCACTGTAGACGTTTTATTGTTTTAAAAAAAGGAAATACCCACCGTTATTTAGCAGGTAAAATAAAACAGAATTACCACTCTTTTTTGCATCAGTGAGTAGTATCTAAAATAGGGTGGAATATATTTTGTTTCTTCTTTTTTTTATCAAAAAACATAGTTGATAATTACTTCATAGGAGCATTATTTTGTTTCATGCAACAAAACATTTCAGATTTGTTTAAATAATCTCACTTGTTTTCTGTGAGAAATCAAATCGTTCTGTGAAGCGTAACATTGAGCTCTGTATTTTGGTATTAATAATAATCAGGACAGTATTATTCGTGTTAAACTAATCCTTTCATCTGGTATGTTTTAATGATTACTTTTTTTTAGAAATAAATTATTAGAAAAAGCGAAAAAGTGTTCAAAGTCTAATTTCTGACTAAGAGAGTTATGGCTAATGTTTACTTGTGTGAAAAAAATATCATTTCAGTTCCATATATCACGCAATCAGTCAGGCAAAAAATCCATTTTGTATTATAAAACTTACACTAGTACTCATTAGCTTGAAATTGACCAGTTCAACGCTTAAACATTGCTTATTACATTACTGACTCTTAAAACTACAGGGATTTAAAACAGCAGTAATAACTGAATAAATAGGATATTTGCCACTGTTCCTTGACTTCTCACTGTAATTAACTCAGTCCTAACCAACGTCAACAATGACTCAAGTAACTTGTTAGTAACGTTTGTGAATGTCACTTCTAAATACCCAGTATATTTGAATATATAATGATCATCAACCATGACGTAACAAGTAAACTTATCATTCCCAAATCGAGGTATGTTACTTTGACTAAAAACTCCTTCAATATTTATCCACCACTAAGTGTGCGGTGCTATTTTCATAAATCTTTCGAAAAATAATCAGTGATCCCAATAAATATATCAGTTCTATTCACGATTCGCATTGATCTTTCGATTTGGACATGTGGCTGTCGTCGCCTAATCATTTAATAATCGTTTAAGTCATCAGTTTAATGTCATTTATTAAAACATTTCAATACTTTTTAAATTGATTATAATGACATGAACATGTATTTAGGTAAGAAAATTAATTAATGTCCCAAAAGACACTTGAAGTTATAAGAATGTTTACTTTAAATTGTCTTTAAAATTTCCTATTTTTTTCATGTTATTACGGTTGGCGGTTGTAAATCGATTCATTTAATCATTGCATAGCATTCGAGAACCAACACAATAAGTCACTATTGCTACTAATAATAGATAGAATTACTCTATTTCATAACACATTTACAGTCGAAATTAATGTTCACAAGATCTTTTTATGTAATTAAATGGTTTTATAATAAATAAAAATAAATTTTTCACTAATTGAGTTTATTATGCTTCAATCAAAGACAAACATTGAATGTACAAAGTCAATAAATGGAAATATTTGTACTGTTATTTTCTACGTACGTGACTTTTATGAAAAGTAAAAGGTTTACCATATAAAGTTTTGATATCCATAATAATAAATAATCAAGAATAATTTATTACTGGACGAATCAGTATTTCTTTTAGAATGATCTAATAATTATTTCTTTTAAAAAGCTTATTCAAATAAAGATTAAATAGTTGAAGCCAAAAAAAACTCCGCTACAACATGTTATGTCAGATCAATACAGAATATTATAAATTCCACTTACAGTTCAATGTGTCTTACAAAGAAAATTCAATATTCAAGTGTCAGTGTACACTGATCAGACAATTGGTTACAGAATATAAATCACGTATTTTTTTCTTTTCAGATAGTTACAAAAAAACAACTTTTTTTTCAAAGGTAATAAAAACTTGATTTAATACATTCCATTAGCCAGTGATGAAACAACCAAATAATTGGAATAATTTCGTTTTTTTTCAATTTTTATTTGAACAATCTTCTTGAAATTCTCAAGCTTGAAAGTGTAATTATGTAAATTTTGTTTTCTGATTTCTAGGTATCATTGAGTTTATTATTTTGTTTCTTTGTTTACTTTATCTGTAGTAAAAAATCATTAAATCGAAGTTTCTGAAGAAAATAAACCCGGAAGTTTAGGAGAAGATTATTATTACTATTATTATTTGTGTATAAGCTTTATATTAATACTAAATGTCTGGTTACATTTTTAAAAAATCTAGGATTAATATTAAGATATTTTATATGACACCATTCTTTGACCAAGAATGATCCCTTAATCATATGTATCGGTATGTTACGTTATGACATGTTTACACTGAGCGATTCACTGCTTTTCTATTCTAATAAATAAAACAATTCACATGACTGGTAAATAAAGTTACAGTACATATTTTCACATATGCAATTTAAGAGAAAATATATATCTAGTTGACAATGGTTAGTATATATTGGAATGAATTCTTTTGAATTTCTATGGATCATTCAAAATTATTAGTTGTATATTTACTGTTTACAATATCGCCTTGGCCTCGACATTTTGAAGTTGACTACTTAACTTATTTTTTTCACTAAGTAGGTTCATGTCATTAACTGTAAAGAAGTCATTTATTTCTAAATAAAATGGATCGTGATCTACTTTTTATATTATTAGAAATCTGATATAAATTTTCGAAGGATTATAGTTTAATATCGAGACTTCAAAACGACATTCAATTAATCATGTGTCCTTTCAAGATGGGAAGCTAATTGAAGGTGTATAAGCTTCCTTAAAAAGTTCAAAACAAGAAGCTAGTAGACAATAAAATAAGAAAAATATTAAGTTTCTTTGTATTTTATAGAAGTTTATGCTTTTATTGAATTTTTTTACTTGGGAAAAACCCAGTGTTATAAGTACAGACATCTAATAGACAGAACATTTCTAAGCAACTTACCCAGCTATCGGTTCAACAGTTTGTTGATCAATACATAAATTTCACATTTTGTTACAATCAAACATTGTAATCCAAAGCATTTAAGGTTTATTCACAATAAAACAAAAGTAAAACTCACGAAAAAGTAGGTAACAAATGAAGTTGTGTTTAGTGAAGATGTAAACTAATAGAATTTTAATGCAATATAATCTAAGCAAACGTTTTGCCATTACCGGGTTTTTGTTTGAGGTCAATGTAATGCCTAACTAGTTTACTTTCCAATATGTCGTTAAAAAGGAAATCGAAATTACTTAAGTAAAATTCACATATCAACTAATATACCTTTAAGAATTCATTTAAATGATATGAATCCCATTTGATGGATAGGTCACCTTATTATTCTATGTTAATTGAAATGATGACTCCGGAATCTAACTTGATACGTCATCAAGCATTTCAATGGACAAACATAATTAATGCCTAAGAAACTGAGCCACTTTAAAATGTGCTTCTTAACACATAAAATATGACTTTCTGAAATGTATATTACAAATAAAAAGGTTTACTTTATCTTTATAATACCTATTTTTATGTTTTTGTGGAATTTTAAATTTAATTTTACTAAAAAATTTTATATTTTGCAGAATACTTATTAAACAAATACAGTGAATTACCTGGAGAAATTATAACATTCGAATTACCTTTGAGCACTTTGACTGTCGAAGCATCTCATCATAAAAATGTGAATTTAGGTTTAAAACTTGCCGGAAGTAGAGATTTAAATCAAATGAGTGTTTTCGTATGTGGAATACAACCAGGAAGTATCATTGAACGTGACGGACATATAGAAGTTGGCGATCAATTATTAGAAGTAAGTGATAATAAATTTAGAATATTTGTATTATTGTTACTAACATATATTCAAGACGAATATTGGTATCCACATTGTGTTTTGCATGAAAATATTAACTAATAGCAAATGTGCGCAGTCAGTTTAATGATAATCACCCATTCATTAAGTAGACTGATGATAAGTAATTTACATATATATAGAATGTTTCTATATGTAATTAATATTAAGCTTACATTTTGTCACCACAACACTTGCATAACTTGTATCTATTGTCTATACTAAACACCTAGTAAATTTTTGGGTAAAGCAATGTACACAAGTGTTAACCGAGTCGAGTCCCAGCAATTCAGAGATAAACTAAAACGTAGAGTAAAAAAATAAAATTTTCAAGGCTCTTTTCCTCATAAATCTATTTAATCTTTCTCTCTCCTTACAAAACTTTGTCAACAGTTGAACTGTACTTGAGTAAAAAGAGTTCTGAATTTTTCAATTTTAAGTGGAAACAATTTGAATCAAACATTGGGTTGAACGTTAATCCCTATATCATGAAAGACTTATCAAACAACCTTGAACTTTTCCAATATTCTCAATACAATATTGTTACATGGTATTAATGGATAAAAATAATGAAAGAGATTCGGAGTATCTATGGCATGAGTGGTTTTATTTTGCAAATTTCAATATTCATCTAATGATGGTTTTGAACACTTCAATTTAAGGTAATACGCTGATATCCACCGAGTTACAACGGATAACATACAGTTAAATCATTATATGAAGATAATGAAATCTCAACAAGACAAATCTGTGTTCCAGATAAACAATCTTAGTTTGAAAAGTATATGATTAATTCTGAATTCTTGCCCATGGCTTGTATATGAAATAAATCACTCATGAAATGTATGCAGATTTACCATAGATCATAATTAAAATAAACGGTTGTTTAAACTTGTGACTTAAGGCAATATCAAGGCAATCCGCATAAGATGCACATATGCTATCATGAGACTGGTCAAATTCAGTCCTAAATAACAACGGGAATATACAAATAAAACAACACCAAGTGAATTAGACTGTTGTTGGTTATTCATGTCAAACATTTTCCATCAATTTTTGTTGAATATGAATCTAGCGAGTTGGAATCTTGGATGCGCACTGCTGAGTAGTCCTATATTAGGACGAAACAGTCGTCAAGTGCTTCCAGGTTTTCCGTGATAGTCTAATATCAATCGGTTCATGATCTCAATCAAAAAATGTTTTTCGTTGATAATAAATAACTTTTAACATTCTTTTTGGTCAAGCGTTTTTATTTGTTTATGTATTTTAATTTAATAAAAATTTTAAAATTATTTGACAAACTAATTGACATTATCATCATTATACATAAACGAATACAGGATTATTATGTAAACATTGAAAATTACTTCAACCTGAAATGACAAGTAAAAGGGTGAAAAGAAGAAGTTTCTTAATGAGTAAACACATTTAGAATTTTACTGAAAAACAAATTCTTTACATAAAGTAAAAAGGTAAACAAATGTTATAACATAAAACTTGATATACTTAAAAAAATGAAAAACAAAAATACTTTTAACAAGTATAACTGTACAATTAAAGTTGATTAGTTATAACACACTGAGATACTAAATTGAATGAATATTACTAATTTAGTTGATTTGAATATAATATACAAAAGATCCCAATCCTCTGGTCAGTATGTATCAGCCTATCAAGCTTCATTCAATGATCAACATGAATGACCTCCTGTTGTGCTGAGAATCTAGTTTATTTCTATCATAAATTTTAACGCTTTAATTCCAGCATATGCAATAGGTTTATGCGTAATATACAGATATTCTTGGAACTAAACTTTATTCTACATGAGGTTACTTATAATTAAAATACCTGACGATAACTTTCTTTTTACTGGATAATATATTTTATTAAAATAAATAAGATAATATACTTATGATGTAAATTAACAGTATTCTCAAACTTGTCTATTGTTATATCCCGATGAGAATAATGAATGGTAACAGCTAAAATCTATTTTCGGAATAATACTCTACGTATATTTTGATTGTATAATTTTTGAATAACTAAACTATTCATATTCGTGTTCCTCTTATCATAAGCTTTATTTTGACCTATGAACAATTATTATACGATTTACCATTCTTGACTTATGCTTAGTCTATCAATTACTATCTCCCACATTCATAGCCACTTTTGGCTAAATCTTGTACAAATAATATTTTCTATTTTGTGGTACTATCTTGTCTGTTTGGTTTGTATATAAACCTAGTATGTTTGAAATATACGATTCATATCGCGGAGGCTGAGATTGGTGTTTTGGACTTAACAGGGGTGACTCGGCAGGAAGCAGGACCGATAAGGACTCTAGACTGCTCGTACGGGTTTTATGCGTCACTGGTCCGGTCGATAATTCACTGTTTTCTGATTGACAGTATCATTACGTTATACATTGATAGGGGTACAGACACACAAGTTATAACATCTATCAAAACTATTATTCTCATTAGATAATCCAGTGAATTGAAATGGTACATTTACTTGGATTCACTGTTCAGTAGACAAGATGAAGTAAATGATGAACACTATCAATTAGACGAACAGTTTGGAAATAAATTCCTATATTTCGTAGATACGTACGGATTTCCTAACTGGATAACGGAAATAAATGTTAGGGACTACAGTCAATAAACTTAAAATCATATAAAATATTGGCAAAATATCTTAGATTTCTGATACTTATCATGTTAGAAGGTAATTCTTTCTATTTCAGTAACGAATCATATTGACTTGATAAATACTTGAAATTTCTGAAAATATGATTACACAATTATTAAATTATAGATAAAGAATTCGATTCCACGATAAATAAAAATTAGTTCACCTTATTTAATACAATATGTTTAATTGAAACAGAAATATAATTTTAAAATGTATTCATGTTATTATAAGCAGAGATGATTGTGACTAGTTGTTGAATTCAGGATACAAGTTTCGTCGTATTTGGGACTCATCAGTTGGATGAACTTGTATCTCAGAGTTGACGTCCACTCTGGGACTCGAATTCAGTACTAATCGCTTCAAATGTCATCACGTTATCCACTTAACTACTGAGTCTTGATAACCATTAGTTTATGTAATGAAGTGAAGTTGAATTCATTTTTGCATTGATTGTTTGAATCTTCTGATTGATGTTTAAGACTACAATTGATCAGTCTCTTTATTTCACTACCTATATTAATAATTGAAAGATTCTTTGAATATGTTGATCTTTTGAAATACATAGAATATAAACACTGATTATTGATCGATATAAAACTCTTTTTATAAAAGAATAAAAAAAAAGATTGTATTTAGTTAAATAAAAGTTTAATTTAGGACTGTTTTGATCTTAATTATCTTTTATAATTTTCTTTTTGATTATTCTCTTTGAAAAAACAGGATTAATTTCGGAGAGAAAAAAAGACTATAGCTGTATACAATTCAATGTAAATTTATATTCAATTTTTTCTATTACACATTGAGTTCAATATCTTAAAAAGAAACCTGTTTGCCTAAATATTAACCCTTCTATATATTATTTAAACTATTAAAACATGGTTTTCATCTCAATCGGCTTAATCACTAGACCACTGAGCCGGCATTCAACGAAATTGAGCAAGACTGATAGGTCCTGGCTTCGGACCCCGCGAGGCGGGGTCGTGGATGCGCACTGCTGAAGAGTCCCATAATAGGACGAAACGGCCATCCAGTGCGTTGAGGTTTTCCATGATGGTCTAGCTTGATTTGGCTCATGATCTCAACTATTGAAATTACTACAATCTCCACAAAAAGCCCCTTCTGACACATAGAAAAAGGTGAACTTATTGTACTGATTTAAAAATACGCGTGGAACTTATGATAATCATCGCTTTCAAGATTCTTGTTCGATATTATGGTATTAGTGTTGACTTGTTTTTTATCAGTCTTAACACTAGATGAATTGTCTTATATATATTTATATTCCACGAAATAGTTACTGAATGATTATTGTTCAGTAAAAATTTATGATAAGTCATCTGACGAGATCGTTTATTTTCTAAGAACTTCGCTAAATCACATAGTACGCTAAACATGTAATCTAAAAACCGTTTTATTCACATAGATAGCTTTCTGGCAAACTACAGTTCTTTATACACAATTCTAAGTCTATTTCAAGCAATTATCCCATAATGTTTTCTATTCGAATGTATTAATAACAAGCAGGATATTCTAAACTTGTTTTTATAACACTAAACATATGCTGGATGTTAAACGTTGAATTGAAGTAAAAAGGGAATAAGGATAAAAATGTTAATTAAATCTACATAAAAAACGTTTTAAAATGAAAACATTTACATTCGCTTTTCTATTTCAGCTCAATAATCAAGTTTTATATGGTCTTAGCCATTTGAATGCTGCTCCACTAATCAGATCTATTTATATGGAAGTGATAGGAAGAAGTAGCAATATTTTCAGACGTTCAAAATGTAATGCTTTGAGGTTTGTGATACAACGTCATTCGTCAAATACAAATCTTATGGCAGCATTAGCAACAAATCAACATGCAGATGTGAGTGATTTCAATGTGTTCAATAAATTATTTCTTCTTTTTACACTGATCATTTGTACGACAGCTATATTACACTATTTTCATCATGAGAGCCTGCATCCTTCATCTGTTGCCAATGTTTTAATTGTTTTTATTCTAGTGATTAAAGTTTCGTTTGTCATATTTGTGGCGACTGAGTTTCAATCGGAAGTACTTGTATCCGGATGAGTCTGTTTAAAATACAAGTGCCCAAAACACGTACAGAATTACTAGAATTTGATCACAAACATACATCTTTGCTCTTATGAATATAAAGCCTTCTATAAGTCTTTACTGAACCGCGTTTTAACACTTAAAGTGAATTATGTAGATCTATCGACTCTTTTTACCCTACATCAATCAGTTCTGGTAATTAGTTCTACTGCTTAATTACATCGTGATGAATTTCTGTTTTGACATGTTTTTTTAACATAACTATAATCCCCACAAACCCCAATCCTGTTAGTAATCATTTGTTCATTGGTGACTAGATTTAAGAAGGATGTTCTAGAGTTCTAGTGAGAAGCCGTGACCAGTGGAGAAAAATCCGTATCGAGTGTGAAACTGGTATCTACCTCAGACAATGAAAGATGGTCTCGCAATATCGTGAATTGGTTCAAGTTAGACATTAACACCATAGAATGCTGGCTCAATGATTTAGACATTAAGCTTTCGCGCGTGAGACCAGAGGTTCTGGGATTGAGTCTCGTATGTGAAATCACGGATGCACACTGCTGAGGAGTTTCGTACTAGGACGAAATGGCCGTTCAGTGTTTCGAGGTTTTTAATGGTGATCTCAAATTGGTCGACTCGTTAGTTCAACCATTACTTTTTAACCCAATCAGTTCATCTTTTCAACCTGATGTACAGGTTACCGAAATACGTATTAATTGCTCAAAAGCTTTTTTTAAAAAAGAAATTATTAACCTTGACAGCTTGTTTCAGTTTTGATAAGATGTTTTTACTATCATTCAGAAATTTAATTACAATTTATAAAACAACTGTAATTTATCAACAATCAGATAAACTGATCTGTCATGTTTATCAAATGAATAATAAACTCATGTTAAAGAAATTATGAAATAAATAGTTTAGGCGAATCAATGATGAAATTTTAAGCTATGCAGTAATTGGTTTCATGTTTTGAAACTTTTATTTCTTTAAATAGTCTTCTTCAGATCGATCCAGCCGACACACCAGTGTAGATACAACAACAAGTGCACTAACATCACCAGTGAAGAATATAAATAAAGCGAAACAATCTATAGAATTTATGAATTTAGCATTTGGTGGTTCACATGGACCTTTAACTCAACAAACATACTCTACAACGTTGTATAGAGTAAGTTGTTAAATGCCAATTAATATCTGTTATTTTATCATAGATTTGATCAGTGTTTTTTTTCTTATTGTATCTAAAAAAGGCTGAAACTTCAAAATCATTGTTTTATTAATGAGTTTTCAGCGATTAAGTAGACTTTGAAGATAAACTTCACTGTGAACTGAAAATAGCTGATGAGCTTTTAAAGACCAAGAATCAGTGATCAGTTGTTTTAGTCTCATTATTTCAGGAATTCTTAACAGGATACATTTCTGACCGCATGCAAGAGTGAATCCAGAACTTTTAAGTTACCAGTAAAACATAATGTCATTAGGCTCCACAATATTTGATGACTGACAGTTTCTTTTAATGGTATTGTCATAGGGTTGATTATACGATTAGCGAAAAAGCTTAGCAAACCGAAGATAAAATGTCTTCATTGAAATTAATGAATTTTTCATAAACATGATAGTTTTATAAGTTAGAAGTTAACAAAATCCTTAATTTATTGACAATTTTCATCAGCATAAATTTCAGTCTCGTGATTAGTGTGCTTGGTGAGTTATATACGATAGATAATCACAGAAAATGGTTGGAATATTACCACTTTATTAAGATGGTGATGTATATCAGGTTATCTTCTCAACTAGATGCCTATAAAAAATCTGAAATCTTTACGCAGAAGGTAACTTTTAAAAACATAGGACGAAAACGGATTCAAGGATCGTTTGATAAACTCATATATCATAGTTTAAGTAAAATTAATCATTAATTTTCCATAAAATGTTATACAGAACCAAAATAATGTCGTAAACCTTTAAATGAAAGAAACAAAACTATGCGTTCATAATAAACATTAAGAAATTGTATCACAAATATATTATTGTTCACACAAGTGCCAACTGCTGTCGAAATTTCATCTTTTAAAATAACTACGTAAATAAAACTTGAAATCAGAAAATTCTTTACCTAAACTTTGTTTGAATCTTGTAAAATAAACAATTTTGATTCTGTTTGGTTAAAATAGATTTATTTATATTCACCAAACAGTAGAAACCTTATATTTTAGTGAATTCCGAGCTAACATATTATTGGTATGTGATTATAAAGACTGGACTTTTTACGGATTTTTGAGGATTGAATTTATTTAATAAAATCCAGTAAATATAATCGAATTCTTATGATCTATTCCTGTTGTGTCATTTCTGTTAAAAAGTATTCTACCCAAATTATTATTACTAAAAACCGAACGATGCTGTATGATAGTAGTCTCATTAAACAATTATTTAGATTATGACTTTAGTAATACGACATTAGTACCGTTGGATGCCGGCTCAATAATCAAGACGTTAAGCGCTCGCGCGCGAGACCGATAGGTCCTGGTGTAGTGAAGAAGAACACGGGTGAAGACAGCCAAATTGTATTTAGGGCAAATTACAGAATTACTTGGCAAAATAGAAGAACCATATAGTAAATCGTTAATTTGCAAAATATCATTCTATCATATCCATTGTCTCGCATTTCATTGTTCATGCGATTTCTTACAAATTCCATTGTTTTCTCGCTCTTCTTTTCTTGATCTTCTCCATCTTCTGCTGCCAGACATTGCGTTCTTTTGACTCACGTTATATACTACTTATATCAATATAAGTAGCATGCACCACACTGGATTTGAATTTCGCGGGGCAGGATCGTGGGTGCGCACTCCTGCGGGGTCCCACACTAGGATGTAACGGCCGTCCTGTGCTCCCATGTTTTACATGGTGGTCTAGCTTCAATTGACTCATGAATTCAACTATTAAAATCATATATATGAGGTATTTTCAAGGAAAATCTTAGAAGATAGAAATTTATACCTCTAGCTAATTATCTGGATTTTGAGAATAAAGATTAGTTCTGAATTACAACTTAAGATGTCTTAGCTGTTATGAGTTAAATTATTTACTTTATATGATAGGACACAGATTCTTTCATTGATGAAGAGTTCATGCTTCATGACGCTAAGCATTTATACGTGATTAAAAATTTCAGACAGAACGTTGTAACCCAGAGTTTATTGACAAACAAATGTTATTATTTTGTATAATTTTTAAATAGGGTTCTAAAGGATTTGGATTTGCAATAATGGAACGAAGTGCAACAAATGAAGAAGGAATTTATATTAAACAAATCGTTGAAGGTGGTCCAGCTGATAAAGTATGTTTTAGTAAACTTTTTGTACACAATTCCGATTTCAGTTTATTAGATTTTGGACACTATTACTTAATAACTGGTACGCTATTTAATACAATAATTAATATTCAGATACCAAAATAAGTGACAATTAACATGCTTGAGAAATAGAAAGAACTTTTAAGTTTATCTGTATAATGTATACTAAGCGATACAGGCAACACCAAATGACACAAACATTAACTAATCCTAAAATAATTTTCTCTGGTAGGAAAATCATGATTTTGTGTAATTATTTATTTCGAAGTTTATTCATTTGTATATTTCTACCATAATTTATTATGGATTTAATATTGACATCAGTTTATGCGTTTATCTGATATTTTTTACCTCATTCCAGTAGTATAGATATTTGTTATGGTGAATCTGAGATCCCTAAGTGATACAAAGTTATATATATATGTATATCCATTATTCTTAAGTCACGTTTTGACAGTGTTAATTATTCACTTATCAACCCTGACTTTTTTTATATGAGCGTAGGTGTGTACACTTCTCATCCTACTCATCACATGTTTGTAGCTTATTTTTGTGTGATTATAAATACTGATTAACGCTTGATTAAAGGGAGTTGGCTCACACGTCCTCTCCACCGCGCGTCATTTTGCTTCGCTTCCTTCCATTCTCTTCATCCCTCTCATTTCCTGTCCAGACCAATGAGTGTACAAAATATAGGTATCCAAAAATCCATTCTCGTATTTGATTTATTTAATTCCGTTATTCACCAACGCTAAGTCGATAATTATATATGAGATTTAACGATATATATATATATAGTTAGGTTTGAAGCTTCACGAGTTCACTTAACCTGCGAACGAGAACAAGACTCAGTGATCAAAGACCAGTAATCTAGTTATTGATGCGTTCCAGCTCCGCTATCTGGAAGGAGAAGTCCAAGCTTGATATGGAAAATATATTCTGCAAACAGCCAGAAAACGAGCGAGCCCACAAACACAATTTAAAACATATATATACAAATGTATGTAATCGATATTGTCAATGGGAGATTTTTAAACATTAACCAATGAGTTCATCAATTGACTGCTATTAATCATTTAATCGATAAGTTAATCGATATGATAAAATTACAAAATATGAGTTTTGGGGACATATCTTCCCCAACATATATATATATATATATATATATATATATATATATATATATGTTGTTCACACTTTAGTGAACAAATAGTTCGCTCCACATTATTATTTTCAGATTGTTAATTCAAAAACATTATTAAAGCAACTTATATATGTTTTGTTGATATAGAAATGAGAAGTTTTATTGTTTTCTGATTTATGTCTATTGACAATACTATCTTGTCATTTGACGCAAATACGATTCAGAAGGTCACATTTACATTCATATTGTTAGTTGTACTAAATTTGTATTTGATAACTTAGTTTATACCTACTTGAACAAAACAAACTTCCACTGAAATGTCATGCAAATAAATTATAAATTTTCTATTTTCGATCGATATTCTGTATACAAAAATTCATTATATCAAAGGTATTTAAAGTTATGAAGATTGAAATAGGTTATAAAAAAGACGATCATATACCTTATGATATCGCAAAGATATTCTAATTATAATTCTGTTCTCTACAGTACTTTAAAAGTACTACGTTTAGTGACTGACAAATTTTATCCTATAGTGCTGTTGTGAACGAGAACACTAGTGGGGACAACCAAATGTATATTTGAATACAAAACTACAGAACATCTTAGTAAAATCCGAGAATCATACGGTAAATACTTAATTTGCAAAATGTCAATTAATTATTTCAAACTTGACTGTTCCTTTTGTAAGTGTCAATCAATCGTCTCAGACTTCACTGCCCCTTCATTTCCACAGCAATCATTCTCTGTTCTCGTTCTCTTCTCTTCGATCTTCCTAACCTTCTGCTGTCAGGCATTTCACTTTTGATTGATGATACAAACTACTTATATCTATCGACATCAGTAGCACACCACAGTAACAATAATTAAAGTAAGATAGTTAAATCATTCTAATATAAACTAAAGTGTATGATCACTGCAAAAAATATAAATAGAATTATCAGAAGCCAAGCAAGCATTATAACAGTGTACATCATTACATAATTCTATTCATGGACAACATAAATGTTCCATATCCCATTATTTTTTAAAATGAAATATTGGTTTGTGTTAATGATTTTCTTTTAGTAAATCAAAATTAATATTAAAATTAGATTAACAAAATAACTGATTTGTATTTCAGATAGCAACTATCAGATTCTCGAAGTACATATACAGAAAACACAAATTTTAGTCAAATACATGGATGGAATTTAATGGATTTAATAGAAATGTTTTACATTTCTATGACAGTTTAAACATAGATTCAGTTTAAAAGCTACCATTGATATTTCATTCATATTATAAAACAAGTATTCATATGAATAACGTGGTTTATTTATAAAGGGTTTTATTGTAGTTTCCATTTGTATATTTTAAGGATGGTATTTTATGTGCTGGCGATCAATTAATTAAAATAAACAAAAAAGATGTGACACATATACCTTACGACACAGTAGTAGAATGGATACGATCTGCAAAACATATTGTAAGTTTATTTTCTACTTTTGATTAGTTAATTTTAAAATGTAAAGGTCATTCCATAGTAATATATTATAACTCTGGATTAAAATTCGTCTGAATAAATTCACAGTATTTGAGTCCCGAGTTAGTGTAAGACATTAAGAAGGAAAAATGTATTTGTAAAAATCTCAACGAATCAATATAAAGTAAATTTAACGTTTCCACTGGTAATCTTAACCAAGGTTTTTCAAAGGGAAATTAACATTAATAAATTAACTAGATTGCTTTACGAAACGTTGGATTTACTAGAAAGGCCATACTCTTTAGATTAATTAATTTTTAATTGATTATTATTTAATATAACACGAAGTGGTGTATGGAACCGTTAACAGGAGAAGTAATCATAGAAGTAGTGAATAATTTCTATTCTACACTAAAATAGTCTTTCAGTATCGTGAAAAAAGGAAGTAGCTTAAACTTATAACTAATAAAATATTTTAATCTTTTTTGATGGAGTTTTGTTCTTTGAGCTAGATGGTTTGGTCGTGGAGCTTTCATCGTTCTTCTGAACGACATCATCAGCACAAACTTCATATAGAAGTCGTGTTTATGCTTATCATTTTGACATTTGATGAAAAATGATAGAAAAGGTTTACCTTGTTTATTCTTATTTTTTATAAATCTAGAAGTGATTAGAGAAATTTTGTAATACCATTTATTACTACACGATTGGTGTTGAATTTCAAAATCTCGTAATGGCACTTTAAAAATCTGTGTAGCAATAAAAGAGAAGAGACAATGGGACATTGAATCAAACTGTGCAAACATAAATTCTGAACTTCATTTTCTTTATGAATAATTACTAAAAACACGATGCCTATTTCGTCAACTAATTGATATTTTCAATTTTCAAATAAACCTACCATTTAACTCTTACTGAATCATTTATGACATAAGATAACTTTGATATGGAAACAACTAAGATTAATCAACAAGGTGAAGAGATTAAATTAAGGTTATCCTTCGTTCAAGTTTGTCTAGATGATTAAAGAATAAAAATTATGCTTAATTATTTTTAATGACATTCTATCCAATATTCAGTTACATAATTCCATAAGTGATCACTACTGTTTAAACGTAAATTCATATTAAGTATCTTTTATTTGAATAGGTAATTCACAGGATTTTGAATTGAGCCATTCAGCTGATAATTAATTAATTATGATTGTTTAGTGCTTACCGGTGAGACTGTTCTTAATGTATTTTCTAACATTTTATTGGAATCTATAATTTAGATGATTATCCAAATAATGATTTAGGAATGAGAATTGCACTATCAAAATGATGATGATTCTGTTTCTGGCTCAGTGATTTACAGTTTTCATTCTCACATTAAAACTTAAAGTTCATGGATTCTATCCTGTTTTGAATAGATAATCACAGATGAATGCAACTTAATGTTACATATATATGCTTATATAACTTACTTTTATTTTCATTTTTATGCTTATTTGCTTTCAGCTTCATGTACAAGTTACACGGTGGGGTTTCAATATTCAAGCAAGCGCAGAAACAAAATCATCAACTAAACGTTTCTCAGATCCATCTGTACTGAATACATTTGCATCTGTTTTATTTGGTAAAGATAATGAAATGAAAAATTTTCTATCCCCAGTTAATACATGCCGAGAATTAATTAACACAAAACCTTTAAACGTATTATCCTCAATTGAAAGTGGTAGGTAATTATTTTTTTTCTACATTGAACAATAATTAGCGGTTGTTTTAAAAAATATAATTTAGAATAAAAGTGTTACGATTTAAACAATTAGATATTACATTTTTTCATAAGTGTTATTTGAGACTTTTGTCCTATTTCTCCTTATTATCATGAAATCATAAATAGAACTATGATGATGTTTTCTGCTAGTTGATGAATAAAATAACTAAGAAGTTTAATGATGGATTAGCGATTTCTTTGGTTTCAATCAGTCTACACTAGAACATATTGTAATCAAAGAATTAATGAATATGTCACATAATACAATATTGAATCATTGTGTTTATTATAATTAAAGTATGCGTGTTTTCATTCTCTAATGAACGCATTTTGTATTATACATAAAAAAGAATAATAGATGTTTCGTTTTCGAAGTTTTACATCTATATTGGCAAAAATTATCTGTTTTGAAAATTAAATACAGCTCTACAAAAAGTGCAAAGTTCATACTGAGATTTTGAGTGTAACTTTGTGTTTCAATCGTTTAAGGAAGTGTACTACTGAATATGATGGAATTTCTATTGTCCATTGTTTTGCCCAAGTCATTATTAGAAATTCACAGTAACTCACATTCCGTCCACCCTAAAGATTGAGTTAAGTGTTACAAAATGACAATTAAAACGTTTTTTCTTTGTCCTGTTTCCATTTGTTAGTTAAAGTCTGCATAGAACATTCACTTGTTTTAATAAGCTTTATTTGATATTCTAATGGTAGGACGAAATCAGAGAAATGTCTTGGCTTTTATGCTTCTTTTCATCATTTTATTATCATATGTATGTTTTCCTGATATGAAACATAATACCTACCCGTAAAGTAGTCTTCTGAATCAAATATTTTGTTGAATTAAGGGGATTAGTGAATTCTCACAATTAGAGAATAACTTTAACTTATTTAATTTCAATTTTCGGGATTTCTGGAGATTACAGTATCGTTGATGCTCACTGCTAAGGATCTCGATAATAGGATGAAACGGCCATCAAATGCTCCCAGGTTTTCAATGGTGGTTTAGCTTAGATTGACTAGTGAACTCAACTTTTATATATATTTATCATTGAGAAAATCAAATGAATAAACTTGATTTATGTCTGTGTAACCTTATTTGTTCATTAACTCATATACATAAGAAATAAACATTTACTGTAAGGAAGAATCTAACGAATGTTGTTGATAACATGCTTTCAGTAGTTAAAGTTATATCAGATGTATGAAAAGTTTGTTTTTAAAATAAATGATATATTACTCGTAAAACAATGATAATCAGAATCATTTCTCTACAAAAAGACTGAAAGGTTGAAATATGATTTGTAGTGTACATAGTCTGTTCAATTCCAGTAAATTCTGCGGACTGAAAAGCTTGTTGACAGTTTCACTATTTCCTTATAATTTGGTTCTTATCATTTTGTTAAGGTGTCTGACATTATGGATACTCTGTCCAATCTATATAATTCAGAGTCACTTAGAAATATTAACTAGATAGGTGGAAGCCTAGACTGAAAGAACAATACGTTTATAGTAGTGTGATTGCACGCCATCACTTTGATAGTGGTCATGATGTTTATGTCTCAAAGTCCTTTAAGATAACTAATAAACAAAAAACGTCAAATTTACTGCGGTTTGCTAAAGCAATCACCATAAAAAGAATTAAAGCAAATTTATGTATCCAGAACAATTTAGTTGTCAATCATGCCTTGCTGTATTGAACTCATTCATAAATATTTGTAACAAGATTCTCTTTTTTAATTATACTAATTATTAATACTCATTTTCTGTCTGATCTGTACTCTGTTGGTCAATTTTTTCAAGATTTACTTAACTGGAACATTAATATGTCATTTCTAAATAATTCTGTTTCTATGTTCTTAGTTATTTATTCTATGATATTCCTGTATTAAACCTTTAAATATTAACATTAATTAACATGTGAACATCTCTTATAGTTCTTGCATAATAATTGCTTTTTTCACCAGTGTTCATTGATGAGAACCCTACCCATGTTATGATATAAAGTATGCAGACTGATTTTTAAAGATTATAATATTATGTTTAGGTTTTAAGCAGCTGACATGGAGCTACAAAATAGAATGAATTCATGTTATTCTGCTACATTATTTGTTCTAGCTTCACTCAAATTTGTAAATGGGAAAAACTGTACAAAGAATATAAACTAAGTAATTGATCGGGTTGTTCCGAAAGTCTGAAGGCTAATATGCTGTATCCTCTATTTGAAAAATTATCACAGACTAATAATTGCATGAAGCAACTATGGTTAGGTGGTTTATAATTTTTGTCAAATAGGTAATCCATAAGAGTTGCGTTGAAACAACATTGAATAAAACATACTTCATATCTTTATGACAGATTTCTGATCTGTGCGAACTCAAGAAAGTGACAGAAATACGTCTTGTAGAATAATCACTTCAATAGCATAACTTATGAATGTGTAAGCTCTTATTGATGAAGTAGCCATTAATTGTAAAACATTGAAGTAGTTACTACTTGATTAAATAGGTTTCTAACACATGCTCTCAAACCATCATAATGCCATTTGTTTTGAACATATGACAATAGTTCATCCTACTAAGGGTAAGGTTGATTTTTTCTACTTCAGAATGTACTACGTTTTTCACATACAAACACTTCTTCATTACAGATGTATTAATTTCAAACAATTACACATTTGTATTGAATACTTCTGATAAAAAGTCAATATAGTAGTTATTTTGCATGCTTCTTTTAAGTTACCAGTCTTACTTTACGTCATTTATTCACCTTCTAAAAGAAATCTGTAAACATTTTGTTCAGTTCTTTTTACACAAAAGACGAACACAAACTGTCAGTATGCTGATATTGTGGTGTTTAGTTTTTCTACAATACTAACTTGAAAGTCAATTGATTAAAATATGCTTCGGGTAAATAACTTTGCCCTTTATTAACCATTTTCGATGTATATATAACATAGTGTCATGTATGTTTCGTTTTAAATATCCTTTGAAGTGAACATTTTAAGAAAAAGTTGTTATATTTCCTATAAATATATGAAATACTTATGAACTAATGTCACCGATGATATTTACACGCACGAAGATATTGGTAAAATCTATATGATTTAGTGACAGAACGTATTTTTGTTCCCAGTTATTTACTGAAAATGAACCTTAAAATAAACCTGTTATGATGGTAATTATTTTTCTTATTATAACAAGTTTTTTATATCACTGCCCAGCAAATGATGAGTTTTTTTGACAAGTCACATATTTAAAATGTTTTAGATTTATACCGATTTATGGTTACGTTATTGTATATCTGTTAGGTAGAGTTAATCAGTAGGTCATCATGAATCCATAGTTTTAGTTGTTTATCTCTCATCAACAAGGTGTATCTACAACCGTGATGGAACTGATACTTTCGTAAGACTCATAATTGCCTCTCATATTATGATAGTTGGAGACGATTTACTGTAGGTTTGAGATATTTACACTAGTTAGTCGCTGAGTAACACATGTGTCACTTGTATCATATTTAGTCCTCAACGAATCCTAAAAAATAAGTCACAACATGGCGCTTAGTCAAAGTTGCTTAGGATCAGATGAAGTATTTTTTGATATTAAGCGATTAAAGAGGATTTTCAGGTAGCCCCATAAATATTGAGACTGATATGTGATATTTAATCAGTTGATAATGAAGATCAGTCCAAAAAATAAGTTGATAAATTAAAAATGGTATTTATAACATCAATTAAGTATCTGTCATTCATAAATAAATTGTTTAGTTATTCGCTTTATCTTTTTCATTAAAAGTGCATTATGTTGATTATTTCCTAACAGTAATCTGTAAAAAAATTATCCCTTAAATTGTGCATTATATATACATCCAGATGTAGCTGAGATTTCGTCTGCTGACCGTAATGAGTGTATGGTGCTATGGAGTCAACTCCGTAATACTTTGAGGCTGTAACGCCTTCGTCAACTACAGGTTTTTGATCATGTGTTTCTATGAAGCATCGCTCGTGTTTCTTGAAGCAACCAAATAAGCGAATGAGGTTAGGTATAGAGTACTGACCAAAAGTGGCAAATAGGCGATGATTCTCCACTGACCGTGGTGGGTATAACATGTTTTACGTATGCCTAGTAACCGCTTATTTCGACAGGTAATGGTTGCTGGTGTAGGAGTAAATTGAAAGAAAGCCATAAATTGTTGATTCTAACCTTTTTAGAAGATTCATACTACCTATCTGGGGTCCATGAGATAACCGCAATCAGTGGTTCCGGAATTTGAGTAATATGTGTCAGAATCGTTCATGGTAATGCAAATGAATTAACTTGTTCTCCTACTCTAAATCTCAAGTCCTATTATACCCTCATATGTAACTTTCCACAGTTTCTTGAAGCCTTTTTCTAATTACTTAGTCTTTTCCATTGTCATCATTACCACATTATTTTGATTTTTTGCTACTCATTAATGTCATTTCCCCGTATTAATGCGATACAGAAAATTGGACCAACATACATCTATTCCAGACTGTACTCTGGCGAGAACTGGTGGTGAATTGTGTGATATATATGTTGATCCAACAATGGAAACTATCAACCCTCAGACATGTAGCTCCCTTAACAATAAACACCTTTTATATATGATATATCATATGGTAAAAAGGTAATTGGACTGTCAAATATATCTAAATCATAAATAATATGAACCTATAAAATAAACAAATAAACTGATTCATCTTAGAGTCAATGACTAAATTAATTTACGTGTACATAAATACAAGTTTCCGGGTTTATTGAACTCTTGGCAATATCATGTTTTATAAGTTAAAATAATAGTATATATTGTTTAGAATAATAAATTAGATAGTTATTGTAAGAATTTTGTTTAAAATACCTAATTAACTGACTGATTCTTCCACGATCCCGCCTTGCAAGACTCGAACCCAGGTCCTATCAGTCTCGCGCCAAACGTTTAACCTCTACATTACTGACTCGATATCCAACCAACGGTATTAATGTTTAACTTCAATTAACCCTTTTATCGGTTCATGATTTCAATGAGAAGTATAAAGTTTTTACAATACCATATCTAGCGTATATGCCATCCGACGAACAGGTTGTGAGGGCTGACCCAATGAAAAATTTTCATTCATGAACATGTTGCTAACTCACTGTTGTATAGATCCTTATTTTTTTAGACAAATTTCATTCAATTCTAGAAAATTTATTTACTTATTTCGTACATATATGTATGAGGTCTCGATTGTCTTTGTGATGTAAGAAGAGTAAAAGAAACTTGTCGAAATGTTCTTTGATAAGAATTCCATTTCGTACTGAACATATCATGTTAAATAAACCTATTATTATTATTATTATTATTATTATTATTATTATTATTATTATTATTATTATTATTATCATTTTGATTACTCAGTTCACTGGCAATAATAATTAGTGACAAAGGTTTGAGGACAAAGAGGAATATTTGTTTCTCTAAGACTATAAGTATATCTGGCAGATAGATCCTATATAGTATAAAATCTAGACCCTGATCTTCTTGATAATTACCACTTAACATGACAGAAATCTGAATGAATGAAGTAATAATTTAGGGAAATTACAATATAAATCAACTCAAAGACATGTTCACCATGGCAAATGTCAGGCAAATAATAAACATTTCTCAAGAATCTTATTTTGTATTCTCGACTTTGAAATCATAGTTTGTCTGTGACAAATTGTTCAAACTATCTTTTGGAAAATAACTAAGCAAGTCAAAGGTTCTATTGAGCATACCTTCAGAAGAATTCAAACATAAGGTATTAGATCTTTGGACTCAAGAAGAACATCTTACCATATATGATGAGTTCAAATGTTTTTCAATGTTCGCTTTATAATTTTAATTTAAATTAATAAAAATGAATTTGTTAAACTTCCATTATACGTTTTGCCTTTTCGAAACTATAAAGGTACGAGCTGGTTAGTACCCCGACAAATCGTATCAAGGTATCGTCGTGCAAGTTTTCCAAACATCTGTTATAAACGAGAGCATATTCCCACTACTGTTCTTCAGCCTTTGCCAAACTATTCAACAACTTCAATAAACCTTCAAGGAGATATAATGAATTTCGATAAAATCTCAATTTTAATAAATGACGAACCAGAAATCGAAGCAACAATCCGCCCCATCAAGTCTGGAAGTGAAACTGAAATATCGATCGCAATAAATAATTCTTGTGGTCTAGGAATAGGCTGTATAGGAGGCTGTGAAACAGCACTAGTAAGCGTGCAAATGCTTTATTTTATACATACACACTTTTTACATACTATGAACAAAAAATAACTTCATGTTAACTCTCAAAAGAATTTTATATCGAAAACATAAGTTGCCGTTTAAGTGATTTCATTTCATTTCATTTAAAACTAAAAGTAATTACTAAAAGTACTGAAGTATGTATACCGAATTTTAGTAGTAGCAGTAGTTTTTAGTAATCTGTATAAAAACAGAATAAACAATAGAGAATATAAGCAAAGATAGATGGTGGCTAGCAGTGGAATCCAGGACACAGGTTTCATCCTATTTGTGACTCGTCAGTTGGATGTACCTATATCTCAGATTTGGGACTCAAACCCAGTACTGTTCATTTCAAATGTCATCACATTATCCACTTAGCTACTGAATAGAAAAATGGTGTAAAATAATGAAATATTTCATATCTGATTAAACGTTTGTTAACGAACTCACTTTATTTTTTGGGAAGAAACATTATCTGAAGTCATTACAGATAAAAAAACAGTCTTATTGTCTACCATAGAATAAAATAAATTTTTGTCGGGTATATAATAAAATTTTAGTCTCGTTATACTTTTATGATGTAAATTCACTTGGTGTTGTTTTTTACTTGTGTCTTCCCATTGTTATTCAGGACTGTGATTGATCAGCCTCATGTTGGCATATGTGCATCCTGTGCATATTGCCTTGATATAGCCTTAAGTCACAAGCTTTTTAAGCAAAGATGGATAGTGGCTAACAGTGAACTCCAAGACGCGTGTTTCGTTCTATTTGGGACTCGTCAGCTGGATGTACTCGCATTCAGAGTCGATTTTTACTCTGGGACTTGAACCCAGTACATGAGACTGATCAATCGCAGTCTTAAATAACAATGGGAAGATACAAGTAAAAAACAACAAGTGAATTTAAACTTCACCCCATTGCACAAGCAGATGGCTGTCAGAACTCAGTATCTAAGCGCATAACGTGATGGCGTTTGAAGCGAACAGTACTAGGTTTGAGTTCCAAAGTGAATATCAACTCTGGGATGTGGATACATACAACTGACGAGTTCCAAATGGGACGAAACGCACGTCCTGGATTCTACTGCTAGACAACATCCATCTTCGCTTTTATGATGTGATCATAATTTTTTTCAAACCTTAAGAACATAATTACATCCTCCATGTTGTTGTTTTTTTAAAGTTTGTTATAAACATATTGATTTAAAATATGTTCATCTTATTCTTAATCATGTGATTATAAGTTTGTTTTGAATAAATAAATTTTTGTTTATTTACATGTGATATTAATATGAAATTACAACTAAATGTAGAATACATAAATAATAAATAAATAAAGATATGAGAAATCTTCTCTCTCATTAATAATACAGACAATTAGGATTTATATGGATCGTCTTGTAGGCTTTTTATAAACATTTGAACTGATACATCTATGGTTAACGACTTCAGTTCTAACTAAATCCATCATTTACTTACTTCTTAAAGAGAACATCAAACTTTCAATTTCGATGATAATTTATTAATTACTACTGTGAATTAAAACTGGTATTTCCATATACTGTGATATAGAACTGTTACTAGGTGTATTAGTAAAATGTAATATTTCTTCCCTGTTAAATTGCTAAAAAGTGAATACTAATGAAAAAAAATAATGCACGTTGAATAGATTGACATAAGTGCTGACAGTTTTATGATCATTTGTTGTGGTAACATAATACAGAATGCCTTGCCCAACTATTTAAATTCTACCGTGATAAGGGATAAGAAACTGAATGTTTGTGTGTGTTCCATTATAACTTCGTAAATAATACTATGGTATTTAGTGTAATATATCAAATAACCTCATAACCTCCATGAAAATGTCAATGGTTTAATGGAGATTTTACACGTTCCAGATAGTTTAATAATGTATGCTCACCCCTGTTCACAACAATCGGTATGTAATTGATAGATTACCTTGTTAATTATCTTAACTTCGACTGTGTAACTATATTCATAAGGCTACCACGATAATGTGCTGTAACTTACCTCGTTTTCAAAGATATAAAATTTGTCATGGTAGGGTATTTTTCTGTGATTTCAGTTTTACTATTATTAGTACGAAAAACCTATCAGTTGTTGTTAACTTAATTTTAACTTCAGATATTCGTTCTATACCATTTCGTCAGAAATGTATTTAACTCGATTGAATCAATCGATTTTCAACAAAGTTTATAGAATGATAAACATGAAACAAGATCTCCTAATCAGTAGTATTGATCATTGTTAAAATTTGATAATAATTATGATAATATGAAACCAGAGTAGAAGTGTACAAATCTTTCTATTAAAATTTCATAAGTACCATTATCATGCATGTGACGAAAATCAACTTTGTTTTGTTTGTTTAATGATGTATTTAGATTACGTTTCAAACAAGATTAGAAAATATTTTCACTGATCTAAGTTTAATATGCACATGTTATGTAATTTTTTGATCTGAATATTTTAATATCTTATTAGTGAATACATACTTTTCAAGTAAATCTGACATAAATTATCAGCTGAAATCTTGTTAAAGTGTCCTTATCTAATTAACTGTGATAATTATAGCAATAGTATGATGTACATTTTAGAGGTAATTCTCATCTTCTCTAAATGTGAGCCTTCATTTCTGTTTCCATTATATTTTAACTATGAGATTTATCAATCCAATAAATAAACAGATACTTATAGAATTCTCGGTATTGTTTACTTGAAACTTTACATTGATGTTTACGACTGAAATTGATCAATCTCTTATTGGCATACGTGCATACTGTGCGTATTACCTCGATACTGCCTTAACTCACAAGCATTATAAACAAAGATAGATAGTGAACCTCAAATTTGGGATGCAGGTAAATTCATCTAACGAGTACTAAATAGAACGAAACACGCGTCCTGGATTCTACTGCTAGCCACTATCCATTTTTTCTTATTTAAAATTTCTGTTAAATAATATCTGAATATGCTTTGTTGGACAGTTTATAGGTATTCTTTGAATTCTTATTAGACTTTATTGTTATTGTTTACTGAATTCGAAGATAAATTTAATAAAAACTGACAACAAATAAATAAGCACTTGAAATCAAATAGTATTCTTATTGACAGAACTAAACTGAAAGCCTTTGATTCTAATCTCAATCAATTTGCCTTAGGCTATAATTTTTTAAAAATATAACTTGACAATTATAAAGATTAAAATGGTTTAGCAGATCTTTCTATGCTGTGGCTGTATGGAATAACTTGAAAAATCAATGAAGGATGTAATGATTTAAGCAGCTTCATCAACAGGTTTATATAAGTTTGTTTTGTTATTTACTATTTTAAAATAATAACTTTGAAACCGATTTATACAAAATTCTTAAAACTACTCAACAACAAATGAATGAAGTTATGCTTGATTAGACATAGTAATATAGCATTATTTCTGGGTATTATGATCGCTAGACGGAGTAATAGTGTTGTTCAAGTTAGATGTAGGGTAGTTGATTGGTAAGTACGAGTTTCAGCGGTTGTGAGGGAGGTATATTTTAGAAGGTGAGTTTTATTGTGTGTGCGGTGATTAGGGTTAGTATAGGTGCGTTGTTAAATATTAATTATATTAAAAACAGAGGTATTGTTTGTTTACATGTAGGGTCAAGTTATATTTCATGTTTTATTATATGTGGGTGAAGAGGATTAGTTTGTAGGTTTGTGTGAATGGGGTGATGGATTTTTTTGGATTGATATTGTATTGGGGTTATGGGGGGGGGGATGGGGGGGGCAAGGGGGTGGGAGGGTGGGTGTGAGTGTTTTTTAGGATTGGAGGGTTTGGTATTTGAGGAGTGGTGTTTTAGTTGGAGTGTGGTTTTGGTTTTTGTGGAGGTGATTTGATTTTTATTGGTGGTTTGAGATAGTGGGAGTAATTATGTTATTTGGATTTTTGGGGGGGGGGGGTGATTGTTGGTGGTTGGTGTTTGGTTTATTAGGGGGGTTTTGGTGGGGGGTTGGGTTGGATGGTGAGTTGTGTTGTATGGGATTGTTTATTGGGGTGGGTGAGTGAGTTTGGGGGATGTGGTTGTTTTGTAGGGGTTTGGTATTTGTTGAATGGTTATAGGAATTTGATTTATGGATGTTGAAGGGGTGGGGGGGTAGTTTGTTTGGTTGGGATGTTGTTGATTGGGGGTGGGGGGGTAGGGTGGGTATGGGTATGTGTATTGTGGTTTTTTGGGTGTTTGTTATTGTGGATATGTTTGATTTGGTTTGGATGGGTTTGTTGATGTAGGGATGGATGTTTGGTTAGTTTTAGAAGAGTTAAGGTTTATTGGTAGTTGGTGGGGAGTAGATGGTTTTTTGTGTTTGAAAGGGTGGTTTTTGTTATTGTTTATTAAAGTTTGGGTAGGGTTGGTTTGGTGTTTGAAATGAGGATGGTTGTTGGGTTGATTTGTTTGGTGTATTTGGGTTAAGGTATTGTTATAGGGGTTTGTGGGGGGGGTATTTTGTTTTTTTTGGTTGTTTGTTTTTATAGTAATAATTTATCTCAAAGATAATTGAGGGACTTCAGGCTATTCTTGTTGACTTGTGGGGTCAATTTGTCTGTAATAATCGTTGAAATATTTCAAGAGAAATTGCTGAGATCTTCGAAGTCAACTTCACTCATGATTTTGATAAATGAAATTGATTCCATATAATTAACTAGATCTTTCAGAAACTGCGTTATTCATTTTCCTATCAGTAAAAAATTAATCAGGAAAATAATCCTATCTCTCTTCAAACTTAATTGATTCAAAATTCATATCATTTATTTCAATCTATGCGTTTATTCAGAACTTAATAAACAATATTGATAGTAAGTGTTGTGACGTGCGGTGTCCGAAATCTGGTACTGATACACGGTATGCTATGTGATAGCCCCCCCCCAACTGTCTACGTGAGCGAGAAAGTGTACTGGACTACCGAATGGAATGCGCGAATACTCATTCATATCTATTCCATCCTTAGGAAAGTGACCCATTAACCCCGATGAAATTCACTTAACCTTTGGGTCACTTCTGATTGCCATCAACTGACCTTTTTCTACTTCTGATTGACTCTCCATATCAGTAAGACTAAGCTAGTTTAACATATTTGCTGATTATAAAAATACGTTTTACGAACAATTCGTTATTCTCTATGATCAAGTTTTCATGAATTCCAAGGAAAATTTAACATTTTGTTATTTTACTAGATTAAAGGATCGATTGCAGCAACTGATGGTCGTCTCATGGCAAATGATCAAATCCTGGAAGTAAATGGTAAAGATACAAGCACATTAACTAGTGAAATTGTTGGTGCTCTATTGAAGGTAATTAAATATCTCATACTTTAGTAAATAATGTAGATTTTCACCATTACTAGTAAATATGGTGGTACAGCTTATTCATGGAATCAACAGAATATTTAGTTACAAGTTAAATGTTTTTGACGTGATGAAGATTATTGTCGAATAAAAGGTTTTGTTTTCCATAATTATTATTGGAGGTTAAGGCTCATACAAAATGTTCACTTAGTAATAACTTCTGTCGTTTTTCTTTAATTTGCTTAGCTCCTGTCATATTATAAAATCAGCTTGTGTGTAACAAAAGCAATAATTCAAGCAGTAAATATTTTATTATTTTAATTCTACATAGATGAAGAGTTTTCTTCAGAAATTCAGTTTAAAATTCACATATTCTTCATGCTACGGCAACTGAACTTACTAAATATCAGTGTTGGCTTTTTGAATAAGGATTCGTATTTTTAAACCCATCGGGTTTATAGACAACTGGAAGGTCCTTCACTAAACGTACTTGTTATTAAACGCATTAGTAACAACTAAGAACTAAATGTGTAAGAACATTTTTTTTTGGATGCTACATTCATTGTTGAACATAAATTCAAATTTTTAGTGTAATGACTATTAAGTTTTTAACAATTCTACTTGATGAATTAGAAATGTTAGTAGTCGAATTCATGAGTCGATGTGAGCTAGACTACCATTGAAAAACCGGAAGCACTGGACAACCGCTTCGTTCTTTTATGGAACTTCTCAGCAGTACCCATTCACGATCCCGCATGCGGGACTCAAACCCAAGATCTTTGGTCTCACACGCGGACGTTTAACCTCTAGATCACATCAGAGATCATGGATGGGTGCTTCTGAAGAAGGCGATGCTAGGATGAAACGGCCGTCCAGTCCTTTCAGGTTCGCAATGGTGGTCTAGCTTACATCGACTCATTAACCCAACTACTGAAATCACTACAATCTCTACAAACCCTATTCTGATAAAAAATAATTTAAAAATTGTTGTAGTTAAAAAAGAAGCATATATGATTGATAAATCTCTTTTTTTAGGCAGCTCCATATAAAGTTATTCTCAAAGTAGGAAGACTGAAAAATCAGATTGCTATACCAAATTCAGCTGCATTTCTTTTTAATGATCCTTGTCAAGTTAGACGATAGACTATACAGACTAAACAAGTAAGTAAATCTTTATGATTCATCTTTAAATCAATTGCCTACAATTACCTTCATTTTGTTTTATATGAACGATATATTATCTACGCTTATTTGATTCAAGTTAAATAAACAAACAGATGCAAATACTTTCTGAACAGAAATTATCAATCCTATATACATGGTTGTAAGTCTATGAATGAAAGCCAATAATATGACGTTAGAAACCGATTTGCAAAATAATAGAGATTACATTTATGTTGTGTTTATAATTGTATAATTGTAAATAAGATGAAGGAATACACTTTCTTTTCTTGAAACTGCAAACATCATATAGTGTTCAAGCAGTCGGTTTTTATCTCTTCAACAATTATGAAATTTTAATACTTCAATTCATCAGTTGATCTAATCTAAACCACCATTGAAAACCTGGAAACACTGGATGGCCGTTTTGCCCTAGAATGGGACAATTCGGCTGTATCTATCCACGATATGCACGCAAAATCTGAGCCAAAAGCCTTCGATCTCGCGCACAAACGCTTAACTTCGTGACTACTTATCCGGCATCTAACGTTGTTAACATCTAACTTCAATCGATTCATGATCTTGCGCAACCATCCGTCCATTGTCTGAGGTAGATACTTGTCTCACACCCGAAACGGATTGTGCTCTACTGGTCGCGGCTTCCCATCAGAAGTTGGGTTTGAGTCCCGTATGTGGGATCGTGGATGTACACTGCTGAGGAGTTTCGTACTATGATGGAACGGCCGTTCAGTGTTTCTAGGTTTTCAATGATGGTCCAGCTTACATCGTCTCATGAATTTAACTGTTCAATGTACTACAATTTTAAGATAATTATGAAATTACTGGGATTCTAAAAATTATATTTTTGTATTTTACTTATCACAATACACTTGGTTGGATATTGATTTCTTAAGCAATCGGAGTTTAGGGTATCCAAGTGAATCTGTATACAAATCAGGATTTATAAAAAGTATTAAACTTCATTAACTTTCTTTGATAACCCATTGTAAATCACTTTAACAGTAGTAAAATTCAAAGTATATTACTCTAACATTAAACTAAATGAGTTCAATTTCCGACATTAAAGAATTTAAAACCATTCATTATCTAATAGTGTAGAGTTCTCAAACTACAACTCATTATAACTATATTTGACAGAATAATTCAATATTCAAATAACTTATACAACATTCATTGTTTATACTTACCAAACTATAAGTAAAATATAAGTCTAACACAGTAAGCAAATGACAAATTCAGTTTGATTCAACTAACTGAAATAAATAATAGCTACTCTCTAGATAGTTTATGAATGCATGTACCAGTTAAGTATTAGAACTGCATTTTTATTTATTAACTTGAATGAATCAATTAGGATAACATTTTTAAGACCAGATAAATTTGTTTTATTTTGTGATTCGGTTTGAAGCGAACGGTACTGGGTTCGAGTCCCAGAGTGAACATCAACTCTGAGATGCAGATAAATCTATCTGACGAGTCGCAAATAGGAAGAAACTCGCGTCCTTTATTCCACTTCTAACCACTATCTATATTTGCTTATTTAATGCATATTGTTCATGTACTATCAATAAATCATTTGGTTATGAAAAAACACAACAAAAACACAGTTACGAATCCTATTTATGAGTTTAAATAAAGAACATTTACTTCAGTAGATATGAGGAGATTAAATAAATATAGTGAGTGGATATTATTACAGTCACGTTGAAGGTTATTTAATCAAAAAATTACAAATGTTTACGATATAAATGATGATAGTAATATTAATATTCCTGCTTTGTTAAACATTAATAAAAATATCATATTTTAATAATAATGACATTAATTTAAACAAGGTAAGAGTATAGAAACAAGAGTAAAGTTGAACGTATTTGGTTAGAAATTATAAATTTTGCGATAGAAGTCGGATGTTGACGACTACTTTTGACTAATGTTTGTCTCTAGTTAACGTAGGTACTATTAAGAAGGCATACGATAAATTTTTCTATTTGACATCTTATTTCTATTGCAAGTTGGCGCTTGCTTCGTGATGCAGTTTGATAAGTTCCCCAGTGTATGTTCTATGTCATAAGTAGCAAAAGTGAGCATAAGTTCTAGTTATCAACATAAAGATAATATCTTCCAGGTGAATAATTCTTGGGCATAGCACTCAACTACGATTCTTTCACGAATCTTTAAATGGTCTTTATTTTAAGTTGTGCAGTTAGTTTCAAACAGCTTCATTTTGAGTGTGGTGTATGTTAAATTCAAACAGTATTACTATGATATGAATCTACATGATCGTTTTAAAACCAAATTATTTAACTTACGAATTTCAGCGTGTTCTGTATTTATCGATTTACACAATTAGATATGGTTCAGACATTTTCAACAGAAGCATAGAGTACGGAGCTACAACTTTTCATTACATTGAGAACTTGTAATAGTTTAAAAAGTATTGGCTTTGTCATCTTGAATATAATTCGGTTCTGAAATCTGAATTGGTTATTTAAGAGTTCATATTTTGAATTCACTCGTTATTTCGTAGTTACTAAGTGCAATAGAATGATCATTTATTGAATTTAAATAAAAACATCATATTGTATTTTAAGATAAAATAAGGTTGAAAAAAGCTTACTTCTAGTCGTTATCAATTTTGATACTAACTCATGAATAATCTGTTTCAAATACACCTCTTAGGACGCTTTTGCACAATAGATTTGGAGATCAGATTTTCTTATATTTAACTTATTTTTTCCCAATTGCTGTTTACATAGATAGTTTCTCGAACATTGATATGCCTCTTCAATCCAATAAGAGATTGAACTGGAAGGTTGAATTTCGATTTTACATAATGGGTAGTCTGTAATGAAATTGAATAAATTCTTTAAGTTCGTCACTAATTCACTTGAAATCAGATTTTCAGTTGTTTTTTACTGGAATACTGAAACCAGTGAACAAGATTGACTTTTAATTGTTAAATGTCTATATGATGGACAAGTTGCGGTTATCAGTACATTTTGACCCAGTGACTGAGTAGTAAAATGTTCTTCATATGACGTCTAAAGTTGGTTTTTTATTGTGTCCACTATTAACCCAACAGGTGGGATTTTTCTGTATAATAAGCTAATTTTCACCATAATTTTACATTTTACCGGTAATATTTGGTATTTTGATAATTATATTAATTTTAATACTTAAGATCGTGAGTCGATTGAAGCTAAACAAACATGGAAAACATGGAAAGATTGGACGGCAGTTTCGTCCAAATGTGGGTTTCCACAGCAGTGAACATCCACGATCCTGCCTCGCAAGATTCGAACACAGGACCTATCAGTCTCTCGCGTGAACGATTAAACTCTAGACCACTGAGGCAGCTGGCATCCAACGGTGTTAGTTTAACTACAACTTATTCACGAAATTGAGCGACAGCTTTTTCATGGTCGTCTAGCTTCAATTAACTTATGATCTTAGCTATTAAAATTACTATAATATACAAAAGAAACCCTTCTAATAGTTATATTAAATAATTAAATAATATAATTATATAAACCTTATTTTAATTTATTTTATTTAGGTAACCAATTTAACCTGTATGGATAACATAGAAGAATGCTTATTTTTGATATCTATCTATCAAGAATGAAAATAACTCTTAATTTGTTAATAATAATGAATATTTACGAATTGTCAAGTTCAAATTGACTTTCCGTATTTCTTTTCTTTTCTTTGAAAATAAATGCTTTCTGTTGCAATAATGTAAATTTTGCATAAATACAACATTCCATTATACAGATTGTTAATAATCTGTTTAAAATAAAAGCAGCTCAATTGTTCCGTTTTCTTTTTTCGTTTCTTCAATGTTTTATTATATTTAAGCCAATCTATGTATGTGACTTATTTTAAATGAAGACAATCCATTCATTTTCATTCTAGTTAACAATACCACCACCATCAACAACAACAACAAAAAGAATATCCTTCTTTATCCTCTCTTGCACTAATAATCTTTTTTTAATGCACATATTTTCTCGGTAATTTCACCAAAAAAGTAGCAGTAATCTTTGTGTTATACTACTACTTTTAATACTTCTACTACTACTAATAATAATAATAAATGCTTAGCTTTTCTGTATATTAGGATAATACTTTATCGTATATATTTATATATACATATACGTATATAGTGGTTAGCTTCATATTTTCTTTGTCAATTCATAGGATATCTTTTATATTCATGCTATTCACCTTCTACTCTTTCTCTCACTCACTCACTAACTCTAATTTCTTTATATTCTAACTGAAAATCAACTTGATTTACAATGTGACGACTAGCTTGTTGCACAGTTATTACATGGATAGTTAAATAAAATAATATTTTTTTAATGTAAACAATGAAGATAAAATTAATATTATGCAACAACAAGAAAAATAAACATAATCATATTAATAATTCTATTTGTTTGCATGATAATCTTTCATTCTGATAAACAGAAGAATGAATATATATTGAATTCGTTTCCTTTCTTTTTTTACTGAAACTAATCTAAGATTAATATATGTATTGATGAAGTACTATACTGTGTAATGAAAGAAATATCTTATTGATTCGATTCATTTCTACTAATAATCCTATTCGTAAAACTTATGGAAAATATTAATTGCATTTAGGAGGAAAATGTAAATTTTCTCATTTCTAACCTATCTACATTGTTTCCTCTTATAAACTAAGTGATTAAAGTCTTTCCATGAAATACATCATAAAAGGCATTTAAAATTCTGATCAGGGAAATGTTAGAAACAATAACAAATGTTACACTGTCTTATTGATTCTTGTTTTGTTTTTTGTTCTTTTTTTGGTTTGTCACACATCTCTTCATTCACTTGCTCTCTCTTAAATGTTTCATTGATATCATAATGATAAATAGTGAATTGTTTTATTCTCCCATCCTTTTCATTTTGTTTTCTGTAAACATATCTAACTTCATTAATTCATGTGAATGATAATATATAGTGTTGATTAGTAAAATAGTAGAATCAAATTGTATAATACCTTGTTGGCTTTTAGACTACAATTAATTGATAATCATCTAAATAGTAAATAAAACACAATTCGTCATTTTCCTAGAATTATTTAGGGAATTTCTATTAGACAATTTATCCCAACTTCTGAAGACGTTCGTCAAGACTCTAAACTCAATATCATAAAACCACGTAAATAAGTAAAAGATGAATGATAATTAGTCCATCTGTTTTTATTCCAATAATATGGAATCGCTCATGTAGTGTGTTTATATACTGAATATACCATATTATATTCTACTTTGCTCTTTGGATATCGTTGCGTTGTATATGAAATATAAATTTCACCTGCTGAAGATGCATATCCTGTACAGAAATAATTAATACATAAGAAATATCAGCAGTAGAATGAACGACAAACGTATTCAACCAGATAAAGTACTTTTTATTGGGGTGGTTCACCACTACAAGTTGGTTCTCTTATATTCAAAAGATGTAGTCAACGATGTCGAATCTCATTGAATTAAATATTGAGAAATGGTTAATTTTTACAAACTGCTATAGGCTGTACAGTCTTTGAATACCAAGGGGCATCAAGCAGTCTGTGTTTGCATAACAAATATACTCACAGAGAATCACAGCGAAGGTCTTACATCTAAATAAATTGACCTTCTCTAACTCCATTATCTTAATGAAGAAATATTTTAAAAAATTAATTCATCGGCATTTCAAGTTAAGATTACTATGTTTAAGTCTTGATTTGAACATAAACACAGGCGAATTAGCTGATGATGAATCCCAAATAGGACGGAACGCAAGTTTAGCATCCCATCATCAGAACACACAAAACTTATAAATCTGCGTTTTGGAAAATGGTCTAGGTAATTACAGACAAGAAAAGAAGTTATAAAGTCTTCAGGCTTTAATTCAACTTAAACCCCACATGAAATACTGTTTCGCATATTTTATAGCAGTTCAAAAAAATAATTCAAGTCATACTTAATTGATAAAGAACTACTCCTAAGAATTCCTTTGCAATACACTTAAACACCTATTTTATTGTGAAATTCATAAAAATGGTCAATACTACTGAGTGGTAGTATTGGTCATACAACCCTGTTCTTCTATGAGATTCCGTCTTTATGAGGAATTATCCTGCAGTTTTGAAACTAAAAATATTTTATGGCCAATATAAATCCTGAATTCATGACCGAAAATTCTTCCATACCCTATAAACCAGTATACTTCAAAATATATGATCAACTTGAGCATTAATTTTGAAGAATTTCTCAATTATAGATGAAGCACAAAAGGTATATAACATATTTGGAGTATAGTTACTCATAAACTCCTCGTACATTTTGGTTCACCTGTGAACATCTATTTTTGGCATAACTGAGAAATGAATTTTGAAACAAAAATCATCTGTCATAGTGAAACTGTTATTTCAGCTTGTAATAAGCTTAAATTTCAAATGATCTCGATAGGTGTAAGTTTTCTGTTTGCTGACACCGAGCTTCCGAGTCTTGATATGTTAAAGAAGTTTTGCAGCTAAGGTTGATACTTTTGGTGTTATTGCGTTCTTTGGGCTAGATAGTTTAGTTACATAGCTTTCGTTATCTTCATGGGTGAGACCACCAACCGTTTTCTGCACGTATAAGTAAGCTTCTCAGTTGTAACACAAGTTTCAAAAATAGTTTGTTCTGCTGCTTTTGTTTTTAGTTGTTTATCTTCGTAGGCCTTGTTTTTATTTATTCTTGCATTCTATATTGAATATTTTGTTTAGTCGTTATGCGACTATGTGGTTGATCAAATTTTTCAATATAAGTTGTCGAATAGGGTTTATCTTAAAAACAATTAACTATAAACAAGGGCACTAGGACAAACTGATTTGACATTCATCGTACAAATAAGAAGCTCAAATCTACACGAAGTGACTGCTGATGATGTTATCCGAGAAAACAATGAAAGTCCCACAATTAAATTACTTAGCTCAGATAAATCAATGACACCGACATTTCCCAAGTGTTCATTATAGCAGTATGTACAATGTAAAGTGAATACTACCTGTCACATAAAGCACATGTCAATAATTTTTAAAAAATACAATGCTTAAAAATAAAGTAATCAGTAATTTAATATTTCATTATTATTAGTGTAATCTATTCATTAAGAGGCGTTAGATAATGGGGAGTATAATTTGCTTCAACAAACTTACTATTCATCTACAGTATAAATAAAATGTATTCTATGACTAAAAACCTCAAATCATATATTGGTATGTTATTAGTTCTCTTAGAAACTCGAAAAACTAACCTGTTGTCTAGGACTATTCAATCAATAAAACTATTCATTAATTTGTCATCATGGGGTTGTAGAGATTAATGACAGTGATTGAAATCAACAATCATTGAAAATCTGAAAGCACTGGACAGTCGTTCGTTAGTGGTGTATTGAACAAGAACACAAATGGGGAAAATCGAATTATTTGATTACAAAATTACAGAAAATCTTATAAAATCTGGGAACCATACAGTATATACTTAATTTGCAAAATGTCAATCAGTTGTTTCAAACTTGTATGTTTCTTTTGCAAACATCAGTTGATCGTCTCAGACTTCATTGTTCTTTCGTGTCGACACCAACCATTATTTGTTGTCGTTCTCTTTTCTTTGATCGTCTTAATCTTCTGCCACCAGGCATTTCACTTTTGATTGATGATACTTACTACTTATGTCTATCGGCATCAGTAGTGCACACCACAATAGTATGGAACTCCTAAAGAGCGCGCATCCACGACCCTTCATCTAGAAATCAAACCGAACACTCTCTGTCTCCTTCACGAACACAGTTGAACAAAGAATAGTACTAATGATTCCTAAGTAACTGGTGCATTTATTATTCAGATAGCTGGATCGATAGCTCATTGGTGTATCAAGTGACTAAATGTGAATACTCTGTGCAGAAAGTCTATTCATTTTTCCCAATACATTTATGCAGATCATTAGAAATATTTGTTCTTACATGTAAAAACTATTTAGTTTTGTAATGCACTCAAACAAACAGTGTTTTTTTCCTTTTCATAATACATAATCGCCTTAGCAAACACCAAAATCTCAATTAGGTATAATATGACTAGACCCGTTCAAAATAATTTTGATCGAGAGAATAACAAGAATTTATGAACATCTAATAGCATGACTTCACTTGGTGTTATTTGTTTGTATCTTCCCATTGTTGTTTGGACTGCAATTGATCAGTCTCTTGTTGATATTTGTGCATCCAGTGACGATTATATCGATATTGCCTTAATTCATAAGCACTATAAACAAGGATGGAAAGTGGCTAGCAGTGGAATCCAGGATGCGCGTTTCGTCCTATTTAGGAGTCGTCAGCTGAATTCACCTGCATCCCAGAGTTGATGTTCACTCCAGGACTCGAACCCAGTACCATTCGCTCCAAACGCCATCGCGTTATCCACTTAGCTACTGAGTCCTAGTATCCAGGTACATCTAGCTGATGATTCCACTGCTAGCCACTATCCATCTGTACTTTCATAGTAAAACTTCAACATACAAGAAGTTATTTTCAAATTAATACTTTCCAAACTCATTTCGAAATGAATGAATTTCACAAAAATCTTTATTTCACTCTATATGATTGAAGAATGACTAAAACGTTATCAGTAAATGTTTGTATCATCATTATATCATGTGAAACTTCTCTATTAGCATTTATTTCCAAACAAAACAAAAAAGTGATTTCATGAAAATTTTGAAATGATTAGTTTTATATCTAACTTACCATCCATTACAACAGATTAAAGTAAAATAAAATTAGGAATTATTCAAGTTATAGAACAAATGAATCCATTTCTATTTGTTCGAATATTTATCTAACTATATATGTCAATAAACTAATTAATTACATTCTAGTTCATACAACAAGAATTGTGTAACTTGAACTCATTTCTGTAAGTCATTTAAACAGTAGAAAGAAAGAAAAAAACTTCTTTTTTTTAATTCCATGAATTATCCACTTGTCAATGGGTGTAATAAGGTCAACTGATTAAAATGCAATAAATTGACTTAAATTTTAAAAACGAAAAGTAAACAAAAAGAAACAAAATAAATTAACATTATTATCACAAAAGGTGGCGGGGGGGGGTAGTTGTAATTCAAGTGATGTTGAAACTTAAACTTTAATTCTTTAGTACTTTTCTAATAGATTAAGTTAACAAATAATTAGTAGTATATATGAATTATATTAAAAATTAATAATGAAAATGAAATACGGGCATATCTATTAGAAAATTCACTTTATTTATTTCATTAAAAATTCCATAATTAATAGGGCTAAATATGTATTAATTAATATGCATGAATTGATATGATCATTTTATGTTGCATTTTAACTAATTGAAGAGAAAGAAAATTTCCAGAAAACAAACTGAAATTACTGTTTATCTTTAATAAATTAAAGTTATTTTTTATAATTAAATTCATAAGTCAAGTAGAGCTAGACCACCATGGAAAATTTGGAATCACTGGATGGGCGTTTCATCCTAGTATGGGATTACACAGCAGTGCGTATCCACGGTCCCGCCTCACGAGATTCGAACCAAAGACCTAACAATCTCTCGCGCGAACGCTTAAACTTTATCAAGTTGGTATCCACCGGTGTTACTGCTTAGTTTAGTTTACCGATATATTTTGGGATTAGAATAAGCATTTTTGAAGCTAATGTCATATTATTCTAGATTTCATTATATACTTAGATCACTTAAAGAATTATTGTAGACCAAGAAGCATTGAACAACTCTAAGGTCTTAATTTAGCAGCATTAAAAATTTCACATTCATGAAGTGATAGGAGATCAAAAACAGAGTCTTCAGATCTTAGGGTAATTTTATTTACATCTTTCTCAAACATTTTCTTTGAATCAAAGATTCCTTCTTTTAACAATTAAATGATTAATCTCTCATCTGTAAATTCATTTGTCGAATAAGAGTTTCTGAATGGAATAGTTCTG